ATTTTCCTACGTCAACTGACATGTTCCTGATAGCTCGATTATTATGATTGGCCCGAGAGTCGAGGCCGGCATTGGATTAGATATCACCGAACGGAGCGTCGGAGTAGCAAGCCATGGGGAGGAAATAGAACAATACAGCATTTCGAATTCCCACCGCGAATGGCGCTGGAAGCTTTGTTCTTGGGCTGATAGGAAAGACGTGGAAAACTTCTCGAAAGCGTCGACGGGATCACCAGGGTATCGTTTCAGAGGATCTCGATACAGGCAGGGATTAGAGAACATTTGTTCATTTTCGCAATGTCGAACGACTCATCCACTTGGCGCTCGTTCCGGCCCTCAAGCCAGATATTTGGAGCTAGGTCAGAAGCTTTTGGAGTTGAAAGCCTCTGATTTCATTCATTACAGCTCTCGGACCGATGCTGCAGGTGGTTCAGCCCATGTCCCACATGTTACTCTGCATTATCGGTTTCGCTGAGAGAGGATTGAATACGGAAAATGGTCAAGAGGTTGGCATCTTTGCTGGGAACTCCGGAGATATCGTCAGATGCCATCTCTTGTTGGTGTGAAATCAGAACACTCAGAGTCACAATCGATATCATCTCGTCTTGTTTCCCTTTTCCAGATGGTATATCATTTGTGCGAATATTTCGACGCTTGCGTTCCCGAGGGAAAGGTGAGAACTGTTTTGCCCCGCTATTGTGAATGGTAGGTGTCGAGAGAATAGATAGTCGATCCCACAGAGCGGACACTGATCTCCGAGAAAAGGCCTATTCTAGGCGGAGGAAAGAACTTATATAGAGACGACTAGACTCGACGCAGCTATTCCGGACGACATTCCTGTTTGCAGGCTCTGAGCGCGGAGAGCGAAAGGTGTCTCTACGAGCGCTTCATCACACATTTCCAACAAGAGAGCTTACCTCCCGGTCTCCTGAACTTCGTGATTTCCTGCATTCGAGCTCAGACAGTTTTCCCCCTCTCGAGGGAGAGGTACTTCGCGCTGATGCATTGGATCCTGCAGATTCCTAACATGTGAAGAACACACCGCTACATCTCCACTGATGAAACGCTTTTTGATTCTTGTCTCGGGACAGAACAGGGATTCTCCGGCCTAGGGCTGTCAGGGTTTAATCGGAGGCCCAACGCTCCTTTACTGCGTCATGTTCCTTTTGAAAGTTCGCGCTTTCTGCTTTTTTGTAGCGCTTGCGTAATCACCTCCGGCTAGGCTTCCCAAAGGACCGGGGTGTCCGGAACTCCAATGATTAGCCCTACCAGCTTCACATGGGGCGTCTATGGGAAGTCGCAGGCAAGGACCGCGGTTCTCAGCGAAATTCGCGGTCCTCTGGGAGACCTACCTCCGACCCTTCGCTTGGTCCGGTCTCGAGTTCAACTCGGTCCATACATAGGTATGCGTCGGTCTCGATTCGGGGTCCGTCGGCCTTAATTTTCAGCATATAGTCGTCGGGAGCACGACCGCTATCGACCGTGGGGAACGGTCTCGCAGAGTCACTGAGCTGTCAACTCACAACGGTTCTTTTGAGCGAACCATTCTTCTTTCTGGGGCACAATAAAACGGAAAGACTAAAGTCTCGAGAATCAAACTGTATGCGATGAAATATTGGTTTATTCAGAGTTTCTCCTTTTTTGAAATGACCTCTCCGCTGAGCTTCAATCGGATACTAAGTGCCTGTAGGTTTCTTCTGCGGGAATGAGTCCTTGCGACTAGCATCGACCGGGTGTGATCTCTTCTTCGATCGCATCATGGCACAGAGCCATGCACTTGTTGGAGTAGGTCTTCCCTCGCCAGCACACCGGTGCGTATTCCTTGGTGCAGATGCACGCAAACGCTTGGGTAGCGAAAGCCAGAAAGACCAGGAGGATGGCGATGAACTTCATTTTCGACTTCTCTTGTGACCCTCTTCGGATATCCCGCCTATATATGCGAAATCAGGAAATCTCGTTCAATATGATCCTTATCAGAGAAAGCGTCGGCCGGCGCCGGAGAGTGTCGAAAACAATGGAGTGTTCCAAATTTCCATCACAAACCTTATCATAGTGGCCTTTTCTGCGGCTGATTTATGAGAATGAGAAGCAGGACTCCTTGATGATCTCGAGAGATTACTGTCGGTTCGTGGAATCCATGAGGCATAGGTCCGAGACATGTGTTCGCCTTCGCAGGATTATATTACGCGCCCACGCGACGAATTTTCTGCTATCCCGGCCAGATCTGTTCTATTCTTTCGCGCATCCTGAGAGATGCCCAAGGGAGGCGTGTTGTCGAAAGTTCCGCTTCCAGGAGAGAGGAGAGCGAGACAAGTTTACCTCTATTGGAACCTCTCTGAAGTCGGGATAGGCGGCGCGCCCTGCCCATATTATTCATCTCGAGTCGGCAGTGCTCTGGATTAGCAGCAAGTCCCTGCTCGACGTCTCAGAACGACCTCGCTGAGCTAAGATGGAGTGGAGCGGGACTCGTCCATCGCTTCGAATCCGAGTTCGAAGGGAACGCTACATAGCTACGCGAGTAAGGAGGGTATCGCTCACGAATGTGGAGCGAGATCGCGGGAGCAAATGTGCCGCTAGCATAGGCAGGGAGCCGCAAAAATGACAAATCCCATATGGTCGTCCGTGATTTCCATGACTGGGTCGAAATTGGATGGGGACCGCCTCCTGCCGTACCTGAGGGCTTTCTGCGGGACCTCGGGCCTCTGAGGCGATTCCTATCGCACGTTTTATGCTCGGTGGCGCACGCTGATCGTCTGACAGGCTCAATCAAGTGGGATGCATCCTGGATGACGTGCATTTACCCTAAGGAGCTCTGTTCCGCAAAGATGGCAGTCTTTCCTACAAATATCATCATCGATCCTTCTGACGCTCTATTTTCGGAGAAACTTCGACACCGCGAACGGGAAATCAACTCCTTGCGGTGATCTCTTAATTCATTGCCGTGACTTTCCGATTTGACCCCTCTCACGGGTCACTCCCCACATGTTAGCGGTTCGTGTCTTCATCGATGAGTACTCTCCTCAGTCATTTTCGGAGCATTCGCCCTCAACGATTACCGATTGGTCAGCGTTGTCGCACGGAGCCAGGCAGCTCCCGGCGTACGTTCGTTCGTTCAAGCATGTCAGAGCGAATTATCGAGCGCAGATGCAAGCAGACGACCGTGAGCCCATCATCGCGCTACAGTAATGTTATCGCCAAGTGGGCCTCCGCTTCCAGCGCATTGGGGTCGTCGTGGAGATGCCAATCCTGCCCGCCGCAAAGGCTCCGTCGGTATTGAGCGGACAGGGTGGGCTTTTCGTTTCGTTATGGATCTCCATGGACGCCCAGTTCGTGGCGATTCCACGATTCCTATCGAGCTGTCTTAGCGCTTCTGTCAGTCGATGGCAGCTCATCTGAGTGAGCTCCGCCTACGACGTTCATGAGATCGCCGAGGATCGACGACTGAGCCGACTTAATCGCATTGGTGCATCCAGGATTCGCGATGAAATCGGTCGATGGATTTCTTGAAGCGGGATGAAGGGGAATGGGAGAGCAATCAAGCGAGAATACTCTCTAGTTTTTTAGCGTTTTTTGACATTTATTCATCGAGCTTGAGGGTCGTCATGCTTCTGCTTCGCTGCCGATGACCACTACCTCCAGTGACATGAATGCTATAAAGAAACACGAGGACTAATGGAAAAATGAAATCAACACAACTTGGCGCAACCTGACGATATGAATATCCGCGTCATCGCCTGTGCGCGGAATATCTTCTCGAAGCTATGCTGAAGACAAGCTCATAATGTCCCTTTGACAGATCAACGATTCGAGCTCTATCAGTCCCTCATTACCCTACCGTCTAGCGATGGCTCTATGAGCTCATGGGCGCATCGCTCGGCGGCGGTGGTGGAGGTGGAGGAGGACTGCCCGCCTTGCCTCCTCCGCAAGGCTTTGCTATCGACTGTGCCACAAGAACCGATGAGAAAGAGAGCACCGCGAAAATAACGCTGCAAAAAGAGACGGAAACACGGTTAAACTGCAGGGTCATCTCGCGCGTTTCCACAGGGGACTCCATTATAATCCTTGTCACTTAAGTCAGACCTGAGCAGATTCATGTCGACTTCAGCGGATAGATGGTTCGTATGTGATGGACAGTTCACCCTCGCGCGGAATTATATGTCGCTCTCATCCAATGTGAGAGTACCCTCTGAAGGGGAGGTAACTATTGAAGCATTGAAAGAGAAGGTGCGAAGTTATCACAGGTGTCCTACTGTGCTCCGTCTCCCTAAACGACAGAATCGCTTTGTGTGACTTCGAGAGCAACTGAATCAACGAAGGCTCGTTGAATCGTCTCCGCAGCATGGGAGCACATCATTCGATCATTTCGATGACCATGGACCTAGTTAAAGGGAGCTACTGACTAGATCACGCAACTTTGTTACTCGCTTGGTCCGCAGATCCTCCGAATCGCAATCGTAACTAGACGCGAAATTCAGCCCGAAGCGAGAGTCGAGATAACCGAGGAGGAAAGCTGAACTGGGGGATAGGTCCGCCGAAGAGGACAGGTCGCTCGACGGGCTCCGACGGAGCCTCTCCGTTCGCGAGACCGATCTATCAAGGATTATTCCCCCCCCCCCCGAGTCCCTTTCCGCCTCTCTGGCTCCGGATCCTTAAAGAGGTTCTCGATGTCGAGCTTAGATCTCCCATGGTTCGAATCCTTTGCTCCTCACGTCAACACGGTCGACATAGATGTTGAATATCGAATCGTTGACGCAAGGTCACCGGCTATCCTTATGGGACTCGAGGCTCATCCATCCCTCGACGAGAAGCTCTCGCAGACGACATGTGATAGGGCGTGATCTAATTATCAGATTTAAGACATCGCCAACAAACTCGTATTCCTCGAGGAAATTGCTGCGCAAGTCACCGCTGCGATTGTGTTTCTCTCGGAGAAAACGTAGTTCGCGGACTCACAGCGGTTCACTATTCCATATCTGAGGTGGTCATCGTGAATCGTGAGGATGATTGCCGAAAAGATCGGCGATCGCCGAGCTTTGGCGAAACCCGAAGGACCGAGGGTGGGAGCACCGATCGGTACCGACGTCGAGAAGAAACGCGGAGGAACTGCGAAACTCCCCTGGCCTTTCTCCAGTCGGGCAGCTTCGAGCAATTTGGTGCAACTCGATCGGATATTCGAGTACTTCTGCAGGAGAGTACAGAAGAGGATTTCCGTCGTCGCCACGGCAGTTCTACTATTTTTCGCGGCTTCGTTGGTGTACATGGAAGCAAGCCATCGAGCAACTCTCTCCCTGTCAGGAATGGGCCGCTCCTTAATCTGCATCGCGGCGGGAACTTCTCTATTCCTTAATTACACCGAAATGTTCGGGTACTCGTCCCTAAGGAACACTCCACGTTTCCTTGTAGTACTCGCTTCTTGTTTTGCCCTCTTGGCCCTGCCTGTGGGTGCCTTGCACGAAGGATCGGTACGACGCTCGATCGTTCAGGAAGCCATGCCGCGACAGAGCCAAAAACTGATTTTGACGCCCGCACATGGAGTATGGGAGGTCTGTCTGACGACGCTGATCTGTCTGGCGATGACGCCCCACCAGAAGAGCTCAATGCTGCCCCTCACGGTTGGCCTGTCAATTCTCCATACAGCCGTGGTTTCAATACAGGGATTCGGCAACGCATCATCATTGGTGAGAAACTCAATTGGGTCCAATAATTTTCCGATTTTTCTCTGAGCGACCCGATTATGTGAGGGAGGGATCACCAATTATTCGACAAGACGATTCTTCTCCCCTCGTCTGGATTCCACCTCGTTTCCAGGTTCTCGCGAACATGTTGATTTTTTTCTTCTTCAATTTTGCGGGATCCTTGATCCACAAATTCAGGATGAGGGCAATACGGAAAGCCTTCCTCAGTGCGAAGAACAGCGTCCATTGCAAGAGAGACCTGGACACCGAGAATAAGAAATTGGTGGGTGAATGCCTGCTCCCCGCTCAATGCGAGCGCTCCTCCGGAGACAATTCATAGATCGTTCGCTCCGATTAATTCTCTCATGCACCTAGGACCGCCTGCTGCTTTCGGTCCTTCCGGAATCTCTCGCCGCTAGAATAAAGAAGGACGCCATCCGGCCCTACCAGATTAATACAAAATTTAACGTCTACCTGGAAAAGCATGAAAACGTTTCGATTCTATTCGCGGACATTGTGGGCTTCACCAATCTGTCGTCTCAAATAACGGCTGAGAGACTAGTCAATCTGCTGAACGAGCTTTTCGGAAATATGGACAAGCTCGCGCATAAGGCAAGCTCTCAAGATTTCCAGACTAGAGTCTGGAAATCTACAAAGATGTTTGACATTAGAAGACGTCCAGACGCTTTTCCTGAGCATGCTCTCATGCAGATCTCTTCCAGAATGACTGCTACCGCATAAAGATCTTGGGAGATTGTTACGTCTGCGTCGCCGGCCTCCCTAATCCAGTCCATGATCACGCTTACCGCGCCTGCAGACAAGGATTAGACATCGTTGCCGTCGTGCAGGAGGTAATCCGGATAAGATCATGGTAGCTCGGAATTCGGAGCTCAGAGGTTCCTCGCTGAGCGAAAGGACTCCGAGGCCTCGAGTCAGGGGGAGTTGGGTGCTTATCCTGACCGCTTCGCTTCCCAGGTGCAAAACCGCGTGGAGCTCCCCAGCAAAGTGGATATGCGAGTGGGCATCCATTCGGGAACTGTTTTCTCGGGCGTCGTCGGTTTGAGGAAATGGCAGTACGAAGTTTTCTCGACTGATGTCACCATTGCCAACAACATGGAGTCCGCTGGTTTGCCCGGGTGAGACCAGCATCATCTGCTAAGACGGATAGAAGGCGAATTCATGTACTATATTCACATTCGATGAGCTCACTATATTCGTACCCTTGCTCAATAATGGCTGGGGGAGCTCGCACGGTCTCGGAATATCTGAATTATTTTTCACAAGAGAAGGCGGGTTCATATCAGTCCGGCTACGAATCGATTGCTGAATGGCGCTCTGAAGGTCGAACCTGGTCAGACGAACGAGTACCTGGAAGCATTCGGCATCACAGGTCACTTGGTGGTTCCCCTTCCAGTGAAGGTCGAAGAGATCCTTCCGATAAAGGTTAGTGAGACAAAGCTACCCATAGGCTACCGACTCCGCTAAGCCCGGAAGCTATCAGAGCGGTCAGTATCCAGGGCATAATTAATGCCGCAGCCGCCCGATACGCAAATCATCGATCCTTTTCCAAGTTCTGTTCGGAGGCTTCGATCGTCCCTGGCTCCCTTTGGGACTCTGGTTTTCGCATCCGGGGCTGGAGCTTCGCGCTACGCGTGTGAATTTTGCCTCGAACTCTATGTAGAGCAGATGATCACCATCACAGTGAAAAAATTACCATCGACGCCGCGGCAACTCTACTATTCTCCAGTCCGGTGGTCTTGGACGTCCCCTCGGATCAATTCCTACGGCACGGAATTAAATACGGCCTTAGCCTGATCAGAGAGCGACTCTTGAGCATCCTCTACCTCTCGGACTGTCCCGGGGCTTGGGTCGATCGAATCCCCCAAGCCGCATCGGCTCCGCCCCGACTTTCTGCCCTCGTCTTTTACGACCGTAGCCCACCTACGATGTTGCCCCATCTCGGACGTCTTCCGACCGCCTTACAGTGAATTCTCTATCCCGAAAATGAAAAATTTTTTGGGAAGAGCTGCGGCTCAATTAATTTACCTCCATGATTGGGGGCCACCAAAATTACTCATCGCTCCTCTCTGGAGCCTGAATCTCGCTGCTATCAACAATTATACGTCGATCAGGGAATTCCAATCTAATTCAGTTATAAATCGCAGAAGAAAGTTACCTTGAAGGAGCCCTACGGAAGCTCAATCGAGGTGAGTTATGATTTATGATCATGGCCCGACGGGAGGTATTCTGGTCCCCACTAACGCCTCGTGCGAATCTTTCCCTGGAAATGCTCCGTGCTCGAATGTCCGATTCCCTTCTTTCTCCTTCCTCAGAAAACCTCGGAACCGCCGAAGTAAGTATGGTGATGTAAGGACAAGTCTGATATCGAGTGACGAGCCTGGTGATGCCAAGTAGTCTATATTCGAATCACATGGCGAGGACTCTCTCTTCCTTCCAGAAAAGCCTCTGTGGAAGACAATCTCGTTGTCATGTCCAAATACTTGAAGGGGGTTATCGATCAGAGATGGACAGACGGGAACACTCGCGATATACTCAACCCCGTGACCCTAACGTACCAGAAGAAAAACCTGGAGAAAAAAGTGAGCTCGTCACCCGCATCCGATTCTCCTACGTATGGAGTGACTGATCCGCCTCTGCCGAGAGTCCATACAATAAGCATTGATGGAAGGCGTTGCGCCGGTGATATGGCTCAAATTAGGCCGATGCCCACCCTCGCAGTTATGAGGGCTCATATTCTCATAGTATTGACGAACAGCTCAGACTATTCGAATCATCCCCGCTGTTCGCAGTTCTCCTGGTTGCGGGACCCAAGCTTCGTATCGAGCATTGCTGCTTTATTGCTGCTAGGCTCTCTCCTCACTTTAACTCAAAACATCACGCTTTCCACGTGAGATTCCTTCAATCTAAGACAGGACTAAGACAGGGGAATATCACGATCAAGAAGATAGTACAGCCCCGTCACGACGAACAAAGGTTCTTGAAATCCCGTTCCTCACAAATCTGTGGACTCGATGCCACGAATTTCCTCGATCATCGAGTCTACAGAAAGCCTGCCGCGGGATAGGGGAAACGCTGCGATGTACGCAGAATTCCGTTGTGACGGGGCTCGTGTCAGCGACGCTCCGCTCCGCTGTGGTTCAACCCGGAGATCAGAGGGGACTACGGTTCTTGATTCATTACAGGACGATCATGTTGCCACTCTGTCTTCTGGCACTGATCCTTTGGGTCGCATTCATCGTGGCTCTGGTTTTTTTAGGAAGGGCGAATCTCATCATCAAATTGCCGCGGCTGTCTATCATAAGAGTCCCCGTCTGCGTGACCTCAATTTTAGCTCTATCGTATATGATCATGATGAATATAGTAAGCAACATCATCCGGTATGGTATGGCCAGAAAACACTATCAGAACTTCGATAGAGACCGGTCCTGAATCTCGAAATAATTCCGCAATCCAGCTTCACTGCTATCCCGACAGCTTGCACTGCGCAAGCCATACTTCCCATAGCCCTTTGCGACTTCTGCTGGAGAATAGAGACCGAGACAGGTATCTGAGTTTATTAGTCCGCCTATTTTAGGAACCTCCATAAATCCTGTTTTACGATTTTCACGACTAATTTACCCTTGAGCGAATGCTCGAATCCGCTATACATCATCCTGTTGGCGATGGCTTGCCTCTCGCTTGGAATGCTTTTCGACACTATCCCGTCCATCATCAAATTGCACGTCGCCACACTTTCAAGCATTGGCTTCTACTTGATCGCAACAGTGACTCATGCAGAGAACTTCATGTGTTTCGACCAACGCCATGGGTAAGGTATCGCTCCTCATATCGAATCGCCGGCTCGGGAGATCTGCGACAGCACAACACATGAGAGCGTCGAGCAATCTGTGATCTATGAATATGATCCTTCAGGTTCCTTCTATTTCAGCGAAGGAATTCCTCTGCAAATGATTGCGACAGCGGTGGTAACCGGAATGTGGCTTCTGATCGTCGGGCGGTCTTACGAGGTGTTTCTTTCGCCTTCTCTCCACCTTTTCCCGTGGAGGAACTGTTTATGTCTTGATCCTTTACAACCTGTTGCCGCCATTGAATGAATTTCTCTCTGAAGGTGGAGAAGTCCATAAGAACCGATTTCTACATGGCGAACCGGGCCTTTGGCGAACAGAAGGAGGCCCGTGAGCTCAAAGAAGGCAACCGTCGGATGCTGTACAACCTTCTCCCTGTCCATGTCGTCAGATACTACGTGCTGCGTCCCGAGAAGAAATACACGGTCCGTTCCCGGCCCCTCTGCCTAGAGTTTCTCCCCCAAGGGGGACCGGGCTTTGCTGCCCCATTATCGCTCGGGTGTCCCATCGCATCGTCCTACTAGCAATATATTACGAATATATGCCGCTTTTTTATAGGACATGTACTACGAGTCCTACGAACGAGTTGGAGTCATGTTCGTCAAAATTTCGAATTTTGAGGAAGCTTTCGTGAAGATGCAGCGCGAGAAGAAGGGTCTCGACTCGCTCAAGGTTCTGAACGAGATCATATCAGCGTTTGATGAACTCCTCGATTTGAAAACCTATCATACCATCGAAAAGATAAAAATAATAGGCTCTACGTACATGTGCGCTGTAGGCCTCCTGGATGCCAGAAGTAAGGTAGCGTCGTCTGAGAAGCTTACGTCAAATCTAGGGCGTCGAGACTCGCGCTTCATATCCATTGAAGCACTCAGCTTCTATCCCAACGAAAGATTTCATGTTTTTTTCTCTCAGCCGAAGGATAGCGACCTGACCCTACTCGCCGATCTGTACTTTGCCATGTCCGCTCGCCTGGCGACTTTCGAAAGCGCCGCTCGTCATTCTCTGGACTTGGTCGGCGGCATTAGTGCTGGCCGCGTGGTGGCAGGCGTTATCGGCGCTGTCAAACCTCATTTCGACATCTGGGGTAACACAGTGAACGAGGCTTCCCGAATGCAATACAACAGCAAATCAGGATCCTGTCTCGTGACGAGCATAGTTGCGGAGATCATTGCGGAGGACTACGAAATGGACGGTCCCCACATGAAGCAAATCAAAGGGAAAGGGGAGATGAGGACCTTCTTCCTGATGAAGAGGAAGCTCCCTTTGGAACCTCGGCCCTTCAGAAATATCGCGTCGAAAACTGAATCCACTACTGGGACGTCGAGAGGACGAAGCTCGAAGCGAAAGAAGGATTAGGAAGTATCGTGAGAGGAGTGATTTTGTGCCGATGGCTGGGGAAGCCATCGGCATATTGGTGTTATAAATAGATTTCGCTCATTGAATCGGAAGAACTCCTTGACTCCCCTCGACAGTCTCCAGAATCGGGATCACTGATGTGCTGTCATTCCAATTCGGAAGTACACCGGGGCTGGTGCCGCTCATGACAGGTGGAAGCGATCACTCATCTCCACTCTAAGCCCCGGAGTTATAGAGTTCGAGGTTGCTGTCCCATGCGCATTTTGTTCCCGGAGGGACTCCCAATGAATTCCCTGGTACCCATGATCTAGGCCTGCGGTACCCAACCTGGGATCCCCGGCTCCCCGAGGAGCCGCCACTCTTTTCTTGGGGAGCCGCTCACAAAGCGGTAGAGGTCAGGCTCCGGACACTCAGGGTTTGTCAATTTTAAGGGAGGGCTCCGAAAGGGATCGACGTCATCTTTCGGCACTGAGCATCTCCCCTTGGGCCATCAATGTTTGAATGAATAGATGAGAGAGCACCGGATATCTTGACTCTCTCGTCAAGAGGGATGAGACCAGTGAAAAAGGAGGAAGAAGAGATGGGAGCCGCGAGAGCCTCCTCGGCACTGGGCACCCTGGGAGCCGCAAGAGAATTTTTGGTTCTCCGGGGAGCCGCGAAGTGAAAAGGTTTGGAACCGCTGATCTAGGCTGATGACCCGCTCCATAGTCGAGCATCAGGAGGGATCTTACCTGCCCGGACTACATTCCTACAACGCCGCTGTCTGAAGCTCATGCCTCAGATTCTGCGACCGACGACGCTGCAATGAACGTCACCGCTTCGAGCTCACGGGATCCCGATCGGCTGCGGTATTCCAGAAAAATATTCTCTCACGTCGAGAGCTTACTCTGAAAAAGAGGTCATCCTGAAATTGAGCTTCCCAACAACCACCTCTTCGGCCAGGGAGTCACGGTCGAGAACCGGAACTCGATTTGATTCTATTCGTCGGTCATGAGAAACTCGACAAATGCATTCGGTCACGCTCAGCGTTTCGGAGGACGGCATCTTATGATCGATATATGAGTTGTCCTATAGAGGCAAGATGGTGACGTCAAGACAAGACACAGACATCTCGGAGGAATTCTTTGATCTCCGTTCTATTCCAAACGAATGACGTTGGATGAATATTCCTCAGTGTTTCTAAATGGATACCCCACTTCGCGAAACTCTTTCCCCAATGGATCGTTAGTAGCTTCGAAGTGACCGGACGGGGGGAAATGTACTTGATCGGCTCCCTGTGGATTCTCTATTCAGTGGTTGAAACGACATGCCAGAGAATCATCGACACTGAACCCTGTGGTGGCTATTAAGAATTCTATGACGCTGTTGCACATAATGTGATGCTTGATGATGATCATAGACCCTTGTATATAACATTCGTTCCTCAAGAGTTCATAATCCAACGAATTTCTCTTTGGAGACGTCCCAGGTCGCGGGAGATTGAGGTCGCTGGAGGTATCTCCTTGCTCAGCGAGTCCCTGTCAACTATCAAAAGGGAGGAATATCACCCTCAACTTCGACTATATTTTCGATCAGGTACGAGCAGTGAACCGTCCGGCATTGTGGCTGGAACCTCATGCCTATTCTGGTCTCAACAGCCGTCGAATGATCCGCTTTCCCGATAGTAAGCCGTGCATGGGGTGAGTTTATGGTTCCCGTAATATTGACGATTGGAATATCTTATGCAGGACAGTGAGAACGTCACCATATCGGCGACGATCGACGTTCTTGGAATCCAAGTCCCCGTTCCGAACCTTGAGCCTGATCTTTGCCTCGAAGCATTAGAGTGTCCCGTGAGAAGAGTAAGTACCGAATGCGAGAGGAAATCGATGAACGAGAGAACGGATTCTGTACTAATCGGGCGCCTATCCCCTTCAAGTGCGCTCCGGTCATTTCCGAAATGATCAAACATCCCTACGGTATAGATTTATCCCGTCCCGCAGCTGAAGATCTTCGTATCTTTTTCAGAATCGCGAGTACGGGGGGATCATTTCAATGCCTGTGAGCAATATGCCTGTTGTGAGTTCTATGTATGTAGAAACTTTCATAGATGAATTCTTATCTAAATCGCTCAAGTGATGCATGTTGAACGAGAAACTGAGCCTTGAGCTCGTCTATTTGATACAGATGACGTTGCCTAAGGGTATGCGTTTTTCAGAGGTGAGCTCGATAATTTCAGACGGAAAGCTTCGTAGAGGTGAGCGTCTTCGGGGACAAGGGGTTGAGCTCCTGCTTCCGGTTCCCTGTCATCTTGAAAGCGTCGGAACGCGAGAGGAATTGAAGCGTCATCGGCTAATGTCCGTATCTGATCAGTCCCCCTGGGCATGGGTCGAGCTGAACCCGGTCCAATAAGCCGGACACAAGGATGAACACCACGGGACGAGGATAACCGTTCGGCATACAACATCCGACTCGAAGGCGAATCTCGACTATGTAAGACTGGAAATGAGCTCATGTCTTCAATAGATCGGTGCGAGGCGCTCATCATTAAAACTCTCCTTGCGTTTTGAATTCAGGTGTAAGATGTCCGCGACAGCGCTTTATTCGATTCGAGAAATCAAATCCTTTCAAATCCAGAAATAGAAGATTCACAGATGGTCAAGGACAATAGTATTTTTCGAGGTTACTTCCCCCTGTCAATTCGATCTGCAATGGAATCAGAAACTATTTGACGAACAATTCAGCCGAAGTCTAGAAACGACCCCAGCGCTTTCTGAGTCCGAATATTCGGAGAATTTTACATATGTACACCGATGTTTCGACTTCCGACACGATCTTTCGAAGAGAATCCGTGCTGCCTTCCGACGTCGAATAGATTCTCGTTCCATTCGAGTGCCGGGCAGCTAGCCTCTCGGATCGCTTTGTCCATCGGCTTGGCCAGTACCGTCTTCATCGGGTGCCAATTGTTCAGAAGGTGGAGTCCTAAGATCGCTCTTTCGCTACATGGAGTCAGTGGCAGATCTCAGAGGATAAAAGTGCGTGCGGATCCTTCGTAGGGGCGGCGAGCCAATGCTTCTAGTTTCTTTACATCTGAAGGGACAAACGACTTTGTCGAGACGCGATCCAAAATCAATGAGGGTTCTACAAAGTCCTCGACCACAGAATCGATACCGAGACGGGTTTCAAGGCTTTCTGCTGCTCAGAGACCTGCCCTGGAGCCCTGGATATTACCATATGCACTCGCGACCTATAATCGTAGCTTTAAGACGCTGCTCCCCATCATACTCCGTGACGCTTAGTCTCAGACCTCCGCATCTCCAGAAACCTGCCTTAGATCTGCTGGGCGTTACGCGAATCGTATACATGACGGCTGCGAGAACTGGGCTCGGTACATCACGACGGAGAGTCCCTTTTTTCAGGAAAACCCCACACCGCAGCATCCGACTCCCGGAGGGAGAAATGAAAAAAAACTCCTTGTCAGGAAGAAATTATCATGATCCTGCCCTCCTTGTCGATCCCTCGAGAGAACCGTTGCGTGGTAGCAAGATTTCCCTCAACGACTATTTTGTCTGCTCCTATACGACTCAGTCAGAAACGATTGAGCTGATCTCTCAACAGAGATGGGGACCTACGGCGAAATCGGAGTATTCGCTGCTCCTCATTTTTCGGATCAGACGCGCTCTATTCTTCTCTGATCCTCGGTCGGCGGGATTGAAAATACTCGAAATTCCTTGGGACGACATTGGCCGCTTGCGAGGTAGAGGATTCCTCCTATCCCGCGGCATTGTTCGCGGGAAGCTGCTATTCCACACGCGAATCTCCGAGAAAGCCCTCATGGCTCGAAGGCTCATGACTCGTGACCGAGTTACTCATATCGGAACGCTATCGGAACGAGTTACTCATGCTCGGAGGCCTCAATCTTTTATTTTTCATTAAATTACTTTTCCGAATACCGCGGTTCAGTTCAGATCGGAGTCTCTCGAGTTATCTGAGTCCCAGAATCCTCGAGGATATTCTCCGTTTTTCTGGACTTCGTGGAGATATTCCTGTAGCGGCGAGCTTGTGCCAGTGCGTGCCGACTGTACCAGATCGTGCTTGACCGATCTTTTCCTATGCGATGACACACCGTCGCGTTTGGTAGCTTCGGCCGCAGGAGACAGGGCGTTCTGTTTCCTTTCCGCGAGTTTATGCTCCTTCCTATCCTCCTTCATCCGACGCCTTGGAGAGAGTTTGCCCTCTCGAAAGACACTTCTGCCTTTCGAAGGTTTCCCGTCACACGCGCCGGAACCCCGAATCCTCGCTTCGATATGCCCAGCGTCCTTCGTCCTATGCTTAGGAGAATGGCTCGAAGCCGGACTGGAATTCGACACCCGGTCCTTCGAAGCCTCAGTATTCGGGAACGCTTGTCTGTCCTTGCTCCCACCCGCCATTATCCTATGTTTGGGAGAATGTTTCGCTCCTGATTCAACATACTTCCTGCTCAAAGATCTCGCTCCTTCGATCGAGGGCGTCGTGGGTCCCTCCTGGCGCTGTTTCCGTTCCGCGGGAGTGGTTAGGGGATCATCGTTCGAAACCATGTGCTTGCGCTTCGATGCATTCGACCCCGTACGCGGCGAACTCTGATTTTCCGATGACTGGGGCACTTCCCGGTCCCCGGTGGTTTCTCTGCGACGTTGGGCGGACCTTTCATCCTCGGGAGGTTCGCCGATCGCTGCTTTTGGAGTAGATGCTGAAGGACCCGAACCTTGAGACTCCAATGCTGCCATCCTGGCTCGACCCTTGCGTTCGTCTTCAGCCATTCTCTCAAGAAAGGCCGAAATGCTCCAACGGAAGTCCTTGTGGTTGGGATCGGTGATCATCGTGTTCCGGTGAAGGCTTGCTGGAAAGAGCCGGAGATTAAAAATCACGACCACCTCGACTTCAGAAGCGATCGTAGAGGAAGTGATTCCCGAAATGTCGGAGGAGGGCAGTGACTCCGAGGGAAGCTCCCTCCGCGCATTATTCGGAAAACTGGGACGAACTCACCTTTCGGGCGGGGAGAGAGTGTCAAGTTTTCTTCGGGATAAGGAATGGAATCAATCAGATTTCGAAGTCAATTCTCCGCGGTGCTGCTCATATGAGCCCCTCCAATCTTCGAGAGATCTCTTCTTACACTGCTGTAATCGAGAGGTGATCGAAACTACCGATCGTGAAGTTCAACTCGCTTCTGAGACCGACCATCCGCGATCGTTTCTTAAGAGGGCATCGAGAGAGAAAGAGAAGTGCAATTATCGAGACTATCCTAATCATTCAAGGGGGTGGCTTCAGAGGAATTCGGGGTTCTCGGGACCCCGCTCGAGAACTCCGCGAGATAATCATCATTTAAGTCGGAATGCACGACCGGCTAATCCGAAATGAGGAATGAGGCTTGGGTCCTCTTCGTTGCCGAGGTTCGCAGACCATCAGGGGTAGCTGCTAGCCACCTTGAGAAAAAAAACTCACCGATGATTCATTTCTCCCTCAGAGCGTCAGCTGACCAAACCTGTTCGGGAGCCATCCGCACAAGAATCGGTCGCGAGCGAATGCTAGGACGTGCACGTTTTTAGGAACGTCACCTGACATTATGGCTCGGGACCGCGATGGATCAGAATACTCACCTCGGCTTGAGAAAGGATGGGGGTGATCTGCCTCGCTCATCAGCTCGATTATTATTGAACAATGTTGAGTCCGCGATAATGTCCACTGTCCCAGCGATGGGTTGCGTGACTGCCCTCCTCACGGCTTCCCAACTCCCCATATCGCGCTCCCGTAACGATTTGCTGTCCTTCGTGCTCTCCGAAGTGTCACACTTCACTCAATCAAGAAACCGTATATCGATCCGTCAGATAGTCTAGTCAAGTCCGCTTCAACCCTGGTGGATGAAGAACTGTTTCCGCTTCCGCTCGGCTCCGGCGAAGCACGCAGGAGACTTACACTTTCGGAAAATTGGCGGGGCTTCACGAGGCGCTAAGTGACGACACTCGGGTGACTATCGGGGAGACCACAGACAAATGACCGTCGACTCCGTCCGTAATCATAACGCCTGCTCCGACTTATTACCTGCCGTGAATGAGGAGCTGTGGAGTCCAGCTACGCTACAAAGGCGGCAATAGATTCGATCAAAGGAAGATAGACGCGGTTTTATTCGATTGTTGTATCTTCGATCCCTCGAATTGCATAAAGCAATGTCTCGCTTGATGGCGATCGATACGCTTTTATTTTTCACCTCTCCGGCGGCAGGTCCGCCGCGAGCGGCTCGTCCGCAGACATTACTTATCGGAGAACGCCGACTCACACGTCAGCATCCTGCCCCCCGAAGACCTTATCCGTCGGCCTTAGCGGGATTCTAGACTTGAAAGGAGTTCGCCGGATCCCGATCCCAGCGAGCTGCATCGTGAGCACCCGTCAAATGGCGCTATTCCTGCGATTGTTCGCAGGACCGCAGTCTGTTTGAAGCCACGCGGCTTCATCCCTCTACGTAGCTTGGTCCTGTTGAACATTCCGACGACGAGTTACCGCAAACCTACATTGGGATATCGCTTCCATTCTGGAACGACAGTAATCATGTAGAGTTCTCCCTCTCGCGACCCATACCCGCTGGCTCATGATATCTGCACGGCTCAGCGGTATCGTCAACACTGAGGTTGGATTCCCCAGTTGGTCGATTGGCATGATCGGACTGATGGACTTCCGATCCCGTAGGCTCCCCTCTTCAGCGCTCTGAACATAGTGGATCCCGCCGTATACGTGTACACATCAGACTCTGTCGAGTTGAGTAGTCCCTGAACGTCTCACTTACTTCTCCAAACTCTTCTACGCGTTTATTGTATCATTCTACAGCGGTGTTTTCCGCTTCTATACGATTCGTCCCCGGCCCTGCCCTTTCCAATGCTCATGAATGTTCCACAATGACGAACACTAAACGAGCTGATCATCGATTTAAATATCTCGCTCGAGCGAAGTATCCTATGGATGACCCCTCTTTGGAAATCAATCCATATCTTAGGTTGAGGGATAGAACAAGAGGAGGCCACAGAAGGTATTGAACATTCGATTGGATGAAATCGTTTTCTTGAGAGATGCAATATTTGGAGGTTCGAAGAGAATTATGGCTCCCGACGACGGCCCGTAGCGAACTCTCTCGCGTCCCTTACGATTTCGAGCCGATAAGACTTCGTTCATGAGAACATTGAAGATCTAAAGAACCAGTCTCAATAGATCGCAATTTGCTCCATCG